CTAACTCTTGCAGGAACGTTGAATGTCTTAATTTGCTGTTGAGCAGTGGTGCTGACTTGAGGAGGAGAGATAAGTTTGGAAGGTAAGTGTGTGGTGGGCCTTGTGAAGGGGCAGAGGTGATTCTTCCAGTCCCTAAAATAGCTGCAGTGCACGGAGCCTGGGTTTTGGGTTGAGACCTTCCCGACACCTTTGCTGCATTTGGTGTTTAAAGCTTTAGGTTGCTGGGGTGGGGCTGAGCTAGGCTTTAAGCTGGGAGGATGTCAGCTCTGACTCTGGGCGGGTTGATGGCTTGGGCTTATCAGGAAGCAAAATGCCATCTCCAGAGAGGCTTTTGGAGTCGGTCCTCTGCATATGCTGCTTCCTTCAGTCTGCCTTCCCTCAAGGGGTCCGGCTCTGGCTCTTTGAAAAGGAGCCATGGACACAAAACTTTGAGTCAGAGCAGGGTGCAGCTCAGGAGCTGGAGGGTGGCTAGCTCTCTGCAGTCCTACCTTGATGCCAAGCAAGTTTCTCCAGCTGTGTGACAGGCAGTGCTCCTAAGCCCCTTTCTCTCCTTTCCCTCTTCCCAGGACTCCACTGCACTACGCAGCTGCCAACGGCAGCTATCAGTGTACGGTGACGCTGGTCACTGCCGGAGCCAGTATTAACGAGGCTGACTGTAAAGGCTGTACCCCCTTACACTATGCTGCTGCTTCGGACACGTACAGGAGGTGAGTGTCTCGTAGGCAAGCGCTCCTCTTGCGGCTGAGGCTAGAGGCAGTGGCACTCCCTGGCAGGAGGAGATGCTCTGCTGTTCCCTAGCCACCTCTGGCAGCTGGTGCTTAATGGTTTGTGAAGCTGGACAGTGCTTTGAGAAGTGTGGGTAAGAGAGGGATAATCCAGTGGCAAAAGTGAGACCCCTGTGCTCTGTCTCTGATTTGCTCCCGTGCTGGGCAAGAAACACTGTGTGATGGTTTCTTCGCCTGTGGAAGAGTGGTGATGCTGACCCTGCTGTGAGCATGAGATAGGATTAAAGGCTGAGTTGCTTTTGGGACTGAATAGGAAATAGTCAGTGAGGCACAGAGCCATCTCCTTGCAGAGTTAGCCTGGGTGGCCTGGTTCCATCTCTCCCCATTTGCAGTCCCCCATGCTTGCTGTATCTCAGCAAACTGATGCAGGCCTCTGACCTTTCAGAGCAGAGACTCATTCAGGAAACAGCCACGACACTGATGAGGAGCCACTGAAGGAGTCCAGACTGAAGGAAGCGTTCTTGTGAGTCTAAATCGCAGCCCCATCTGGCAGTTGTTTGTTGTTTACTCCTTCCCCTGACCCCTGCATGCAGTTGCTAGAAATTGTTTGCTTCTGCTTACCTTGAACTGAGCAGTGATGCAGTGGAAGAAACATCTGCTGACTTGGTTCTTGAGGCAAGCCTGGTCATGGAGGCCTCCTCAGTTCCAGAGGACTCGCAGGTCCTCCTGGGTCTCTTCATGTCTTGAAGTGATTAATACAGCATTTACATTTGTTCCATCTGCTCTGAGCAGTTGGAGATCAAAGTTCCCTGCGAAGTTCTGTCTCTCTGATCTCCCATTTTTCCTGCTTGTTGCAGTTGTTTAGAGTTCTTACTGGATAATGGTGCTGACCCATCCCTCCGGGACAAGCAGGGATATACTGCTGTCCACTATGCAGCTGCGTACGGCAACAGGCAGAACCTTGAATTGGTGAGTAAGCCAGTGGCACCGCTCTGTGCTGCCAGGAGACAGGAGAGGGAGGTCCCTCCCCAGGAACTTGGCCAGCCCTGCAGACTCCAGGCGCGGCTAAAGGTCTGCGTGTGTTCTAAGCACTACAGTGTTGTGGTTTGCCCAGGAAGAAGGGAGGAGGGTTTGATGCACAGGATTAAAGAGCATGGGGACTCTTGGGAAGTCATCGTGCCAGGAATACTGTGGAGGGAAGCCCTGGGCTTGGGTGAGACGCCCCAGAAAGGAGCCCAGTTACCTGGCAAGGGGGACTACATGGATGTTTTGCCTGAGTCCCTGGCAGTAGAGCAAGGCTGGGCTTTTAAAAGAAAGCCTGGAGACCTGCCCCAGGAAAGAGCTGCTGCAGTAGGCAACAAGCCTGGTAGCTCTGTTTGAAATGCCTGTGCTGTTATGGGGTGAGCTTAGGGCTGTGTGGGTATAGGAAACCACGCGAATAATGAGGAGGCTTCTGGACAGCAAGACTGGATGTGTCTGTCTATATGGGGCCCCGAGCTGGGTGAGGAAAGCTCCTTGCTAAGACCCAGGCCATTCTGGAGCAGATGCACCCACTGGAGACTGCTGGTGGTGAAGGTGCCTCTTGAAGCCACCACGATGGTGTGTTTTCAAGGATCAGCTATGGTTTTATGTTTTCCTTGTTGTTATTGTAGCTCCTGGAAATGTCTTTTAACTGCCTGGAGGATGTGGAAAGCACCATTCCAGTCAGCCCTTTGCACTTAGCTGTAAGTATGGCTGGTCTAGCCCCAGGGCTGCAGAGGGCACTTGCCTCTCTGCCAGGGTTCACACTGCACCCTGGAAAGATGCCTGCTCTCGTGCAATGGAGACTTGGGTCTCAGGGGCTGTCGATGCTGAGCAGGACAGAGAAGGAAAAGAGCTGGCCGCCTGGGAAACACGAGCATGGCAGTCCCCACAGGCCATGGGTCGAAGTCTCTTTAATTTGTATTCTAGGCTCCTTGCTCTTCTTGGGACTTTGATTGCTGCTGTTTGGAGTCACTTCCCTTGTCTGTGTAGGCAGGGCAGGAGTGCGTGAGGGCTTTGCATGGGATCAGAGCATGAACGTGAAGCAATGGTTCGCATGGGCTCAGCTTGCTGGAGGGACCTAGAAAGCGGGAATTGTGCCAGTGCTGGGGACTCCTGGCTGCTGTCACTCTGGGCACTGCTTTGATACAGTCTGCTTTGCCCTCAGGCCTATAATGGTCACTGTGAAGCCCTAAAGACACTTGCCGAAACCCTTGTGAACCTCGACGTGCGGGACCACAAGGGGCGGACAGCGCTGTACCTCGCCACGGAGAGAGGCTCCACGGAGTGTGTGGAGGTGCTCACTAGTCATGGCGCATCCGCCCTGGTGAAGGAGAGGAAGAGGAAGTGGACACCTCTCCACGCTGCAGGTGAAGGAGGGCAGAAAGGGCTGGGCGATGGTGAGGGGACATGTCCAGAGCCCTTGAGGCCTTTGGTGCCTGGGCTGTGGGTGCTGTAGGTTCACTGTTTGCTGAGTTAGAAGGGTGTTAGACTGGCCTCGAGCAGCTGTCCTGGAAGCCGCCAATGACAACGGCGCTTGTTACCCAGCTGCTGTTCAGGGAGGGGGAAAGGGCTGTGGTTTAGGATGAGGCTTAGAGCCAGAATGGGGCAAGTACAGCCTGCTGTGATGTGCCAGCAGAAGTGTAGGGTCTAAGTAGCTCAGCAACGGGTGGGAGAGAAGACACCAGCAGTTTCTGCACGCACGTGTTTTTAGCTGAGCCTATGCACGTGCTAATCAATCCTGTAGCTTAGCAACCATATAACGAAGTTGCCCAGCCACGTGTGCTGCTGGCTACTGAGCATGAGCCTATTCCTTTGGCTTATGGCAGTGGTTGGAAGGAGGGGACCCATCTGTATGTGTGTGCGACTCCTTGTTTCCTTGTGTGTTTTCTCCAGCTGCCAATGGGAACACGGATTCCCTGCACCTCCTGATAGACAGTGGGGAGCGGGCAGACATCACTGACGTCATGGACATCCACGGCCAGTGAGTTTCTCTGGGTGTTTCTCTTGGGCTGTGTGTGTCACAGGGTCAGGCCCCTCTCAGGTTACAGCAGCAAGTTCTTGGAGCGTCCCGGAACGCTCTCTTGTGTGCATCCCCTGCCACGGGCAGTAAACGTTTTAGTCAAAAGCTGTAGCAAATTGGCAGCCACCCTGGGAGCGGGGTTCAGAAATCTGGTTCCCGTCGTGCCCCTGACAAAGCTCACGTCCCCGAGCCAGCACTCAAACCAGGCACCCAGCAAGGATGAGTGGGGCTGGGGCAAGAGGGTGATGCTGGAACCCAGTTGTGGTTTCCAAGCCCACCATCCTTCCTGCTGCTTGTTTCTCCCTGCCATGCAGAACCCCGCTGATGCTGGCGATCATGAACGGCCACGTTGACTGTGTCCACCTCCTTCTGGAGAAGGGATCCACAGCCGACGCAGCGGACAAGAGGGGCAGGACCGCCCTGCATCGAGGGGTGAGTGCATTTCTGGGACCAGGCGGTGTCCTGGAGCCCTGCAACTTCTACTTGAAAGGTGTCCTAGATGGAGGCTGCTTGGAGGACAAGCAAGTGGTTTCTCTTGTCACAACTGTCCTCAAAAAAACACCCCACTTTCCCTTCCCAAGATGCAGCATTTGAGTAGGAAACTGGGGAAGAAGGGGATGGTTCTGTTGTTAATGGTTGAAGGAGGAAATCTGACTTCTCTGGTCCTCCCTTCTGGACACAGGCTGTGACGGGCTGTGAGGACTGCCTGGCTGCCCTGCTGGACCATGATGCCTTCGTTCTGTGTCGGGATTTCAAAGGCCGGACCCCGATCCACTTTGCGTCGGCGTGCGGGCACTTAGAAATCCTGAGGACCCTGCTGCAGGCAGCCCTCTCTACTGACCCTCTGGACTCTGTGGTGGACTACAGTGGTTACTCTCCGATGCACTGGGCTTCGTATAGTGGTAAGGACCAGGGCTGGGCCCCTTCCCCCTTCTACTCTGCTTTGCTATTGATGAGTAAGAGGGAGCCCTACCAAAAAGCTCTAATACTGCTCTGAGGCACACGCTGTAAAGATCGGCTTTAGTCAAACTGTCGTCTTTGGGTCTAGGGGGAGCAGCATGTGTGGGCTGTTCCCTTTCTGTGATGGCTATGGGTTGAACAATCTAATGACACTGCCACGCTGTTAGTTGATGTTGATGGTGGCTTGGCCTTCGTGTTGGTAAAGCCTGCCAGGAGGAGCCAAGTTGTCCCTCTGTCCCCTACTGCTTCCAGGAGCTGTCAGCCCAGCGCTGAATTCAGCCTAGTGGAAAGCACAAATCTGGAGGGAGACTGTGATTTTTTTTTTCCCGCCTTGCCAAGCTCCTTTAACAGGGGAATGAAACATAAAAACAGCTATTATAAAATAGCTGATGCTGCTTGCTCCGGGACTGCTGGGTTTATAGGATTACTTGGCCATCACCCTGGCTCCAGGGAGTGGTAGGCCTGATACGGCAACAGGAAGGGATGCCTCAGCGTTTCGAGGGGGAGCTAGCGATGTGGCTGTGAAGTCCTTAAGAAGAAGGTGTAGAATTTGAAGCCTCCTGAAATGCAGCAGCTTTGCTGCCAGAGAAGAAACAAAACCGCTGCCTCAGCAGTGGGGAAGGGGGGTGTTTGGGCACTTCCGTGCCGATGGTCCAGTTCTCCCTGTTGTGGGATTTGCTGTGATCTGCTCTGGCGTTCTGTTTGGGTTGGGACAGCCCCACAGTCTCTCCCTCCTAGGAGCTGAGACCAGTTAGGAACGGGGTGCTTTCAGGCCCCTATTTACTTAATGTGTTTGAGCAATTCTGTTCCACAGTACGTGAGGCCTCCAGCTCTTAGGACAGTCATGGGGGGAGCCGGAGGGGCCTTTAGTCCTCTGGATACTGATGTATTCACATCCCTCTCTCCTCACAGGGCATGAAGATTGTCTTGAATTGTTACTTGAACACAATCCATTTGCGTACCTAGAAGGAAACCCCTTTACTCCATTGCACTGTGCAGTGTAAGTGGCACCTGGGATGCGCCCTGGGTTCTTCTCACTGAGAAGATGTGGGAGAGGGGATGTGTGGGTTGAGTGGGGAGGAACCCGCAGAAGGATGAGCTCCAAACCTTGCCGCTCTTAACAAAAGCAGAATCCTTTCTATTTGGGCACTCTGCCACCCCTCAGGGTTATACTGCCTGCTTGTCTCAGCCTCCCTGCAGTGGGTAGGCAGTTGCTGGACCGCTGGAGGTCCTCTGGGAGCTGTAAAGCAGTTGTCTCGCTAGCCACGCACAGCACAGCAGTACTGGCGCGGTACCGTGTTTCCTTAAGTAATACCAAGAAGGGTAAAACTTTTACCCTAAACCACTCCAGACCAGCTGCTGTTTGCATTTTTTCTGAGCCCCTGGAACGTGCTGCTCCTTCCTGCTGGGTGAGGCAGATGTGCTAATGCTGCTTAGCCTTGTTCTAACTTTCCTTCTCATCCCCACCACAGAATTAACAACCAGGATGGCACTGCAGAAATGCTGGTGGAAGCATTAGGTGCCAAGATTGTTAATAGCAGAGATGCCAAAGGAAGGTGAGTACAGACTCGTCCCTCTCTTGTGGCCCACTCGCCAGGGTGGCTGGGTGGTGGCTGTGACTCCTGCACCTCTCCTGGTTCGTTGTTCCTGTTTGGCTGCAGGGTCCCTGCCACACACTCGCCCTGCCAGGACAGCTGCATCAGCGCTTCCTGACCCGGTTCAGGGCAAAGTCTGCCCAGCGGGGCAAACCCCTCTGGAGTGGCAGCATGGTGGGGTGGCTGTGTCCAGCAGAGAAGAGTAAATTCCACTGTTCCTACTCTTCCTACAGCATAATGGGACTCTGGCATGCTCAAACCTGTCTGCAGGCTTGGGAAGTTTTGCTGAAGTGGATGCTGTGCCATCCTCTTTACCCACTCTCTCCTCTCCGCAGGACTCCCCTTCACGCTGCTGCCTTTGCAGACAACATCCATGGTTTACAGCTGCTTCTGCGCCACCAAGCTGAGGTGGACATGACTGACAAGCTGGGGAGGACTCCCCTCATGATGGCTTCTGAGAACGGGCACACTGCAGCAGTTGGTACGTTGCTGGCAACCTCCCTCCTTCCCTGGGCACTTCCAGGTCAGATTGCGTGCTTTCACAGCGCAGCATTGAAATCTTTGTCGTGTTCCAGTGCTCTACGTACTGCGTGCAGCTGGTTCCTTGAACCTCTAATGGCAGTGGGGAGGATTTGCTGCTTGGGCAAACCAGCGTTTTTGGCTGTTCTTTGGGGTGGTCAGTGCCTGCCAGCTGTCCCCACCAGAGCAGCCCCTTTCTCCAGTTCACCATCTAAGTGGGAGCAGGGCCCGTACTTCTCCTCTCTTAGGCACACTGGGACTGCCGCCCCACTCCTGCCCCCTCAGCACATGGCTACTGCCCTATATTGTCAGGGTCTGTGCTTCGTCTTCTCAGCAGCAGCTGCCTCTCTTGATTTCAGAGTTCCTGCTGTACCGAGCAAAAGCAAATATAACTGTGCTGGATGTCAACAAGAACACAGCTCTTCACCTGGCCTGCAGCAAGGTAGGGAGCCAAGCACTTATCAGCTGTGATTGTGTTCACCATCACCTTCAGCCTTGAGACCTTACTGAGAGGGAGACAGGCGTCCTGCCCTCCAGGAGCAGAAAGGAGGGCCCTGGGCTTGCTCTGCATGCCCGCTCACCTAACTTGACCTGTACAGATGCTCCTGATTCAGTTATGAGCGGTTTAGATAGTAGTACAAACCTATTTGTATTTTTCCTGGGGCATCCCTGCTCATACTGAGCTCAGAGAGCTTCTTGCTTCCTGATGCCGGGATATGGTGGAAGCAGGAGGCTTGTGTTCAGCATATTCAGTGCAAAAAAGCAGATGCTGTAAAGGAGATGGAGTAGACAGCAGCTGCCTTCTTAGGCCCTTCCAAAGTGGTAAGCGGTGCTGGAAGGAGGTATATGGAGAACAGATCCATATTCCTGGGAATCACGTTCCACTCAGACAGCACCCAGGTCCCATCCACTCCCCGAGCCTTTATGCTCATGCAGTATAAACAATTTGATCTCCTTTCCAGGGTCATGAAAAGTGTGCCTTGTTGATCCTGGGGGAAACCCAAGACCTTGGCCTTATCAATGCAAGTAACAGTGCTCTCCAGATGTGAGTATTTGGACAGCTGGCAGTGGTGGGGGAAAAAAAAGGCTTTGCTGGGTGTGGGTGATGTATTGGCAAGAAGAAGAGAGGGTGGTGGTGGGAGGTGTGTTTTTGCTTGGTGTGCACAGTGAAAGCGCAAACAGGTAAGCTCGGGAGAAGTCTGTAAGGCCTCAAATGTCTGCCCTTGAAGCTGGTCACAGAGGCCCTTTGCTTTTTAACATGGAGGATGTCCTGGGAAGGTGGCTCTTCACCGCCAGGCTGGCTGCTCTCGCAGACATAGAAGCGCAGTCCAGGGCTGCAGGCTGCTCTCCTCAGAGAGCCTGAGCTGTGTGGGGCACCTTCCTTTCCATGCCCACCTTTTCCAGCTCCTGGGCTTGAGTCTTGCCTCTGGCTGTCAGTCGTCAGCTGAGAGAACTGGTTCTCTGTAATGCTGAGCTCTCACAGGAGCAGCCCCACAACTGAGTTGTATCAAAACGGCTGCATTGGCGCCAGTCTCGGGGAAGATCCCTGCGTAAGCCAGCAGGAGCGTCAGCACTGCTCGGGCAGGCTGCTCCCAGCTCAGCTCTGGCTCTCGAATCGGCCCCATCCAGTTAACATGCTTCCTCTCGCTGCTCCCCTCCAGGCCGCTCCACATTGCAGCTCGCAACGGACTGGCCTCTGTTGTCCAGGCTCTGCTCAGCAGAGGTGCCACTGTGCTGGCTGTGGATGAAGAAGGTGGGTACTCCTCGTGGCTGGCCGGGGTCGCGTTTGGTGTGATTGCTGCGTGACGTCCCAGGGGGACGGGGGCTGCTTGGGGAATCACTCCAGCCTGGATTGGAAGGATTTCTGCATCCTTCCTGCAGCTGAGCTCCACGCTTTTAGCTCTTGGCTTGGTGAGAGCAGCCTGGGTGAGGGTATTGCCGCGTTGCGATCCTCTGTCACTTAGCAGAAGTATTTCTGGGTCCCACAGGTGTTTGAAATATATATTTTTCTCCTCCCAAGCATCTTCTGGTCGCTGTCTGGCTCTCCTGCCATTTGTGGTCAGGTGCAAAACCAGCCTAGCCTGAGCTAGTGATAAGCTATTGACTCACTTGCAAGTTTGGCAGAAACTGGTTGTGGTGGCCAGAAGCTTTTTCTCCCAGCAGAGTGTTTGCTCTGCTGGAATACCTTTGAGTTGTGAAGAATATCATTGTGTCTGCTGTGCTGCCAGGGCTTCTGAGGCTCTCTTATTTGGTTCCTTCTGATCCTGGCACGCTTCAAAGCGGTTGCTGAAATTGCAAAGCTTGCTGGTGCTCAGAAGCAGGGTCCTTTGAGATAAAGACAAATAGAAGTCCTGGCCCCTCAGCTCATGGAAGGAAAGTTGCCCCAGTCAAAGCAATTGAATCAAAGGTCAGGCATGTCCAGAAATTAGTCCAGTCTGGAACCAGGACCGACAAAGGCCCACGCAGTGCCAGTTGATCTGCCTGCCTGCTTCCTGTTCCTGCGATCTCTGGGACCGCAGTACAGCAGCCTCGCCGTCTGTGATGTGCTTACCTTGCTGAGGCTGTTTGTTTTAGAGATGGGAAACCAAGGCGCAGGGCAGCCGCAAGGGGCTTGGTCACTCCTCCCTTGGCAGCGCTGTGTTTGGGGCTTGCCCCAGCACTGCTCTGTGCCCAGGCTAATTATCCTGCACAGAAGCAGGCCTAATTAACAGCAGGGCAGTATGATGCTCGCGCAGATGTGCTGCTCGCCCTCCTGGAGCGAGCGTGCCCAGAAGCCAGGCCGCTGCGGCCTCACTCAGGGCCCGCTGGGGCCAGTCCGGTGTGCGAG